AAATAATAAATAACAAATAAATAAATAAAAAAATAAATAATTATAAATCGACGGAAAGAGGAAGTGCAGGCCATCAGAATCAATAATTAGCGGAAAGAAAGGTAAGTTAGTCTGGATATTGTATTCAACACTCTACTTCTTCCTTCCTTTTAATTTTTCTTTAACAAACAAATTGTTGGACTATCTGCTGTCCCGCAGCCTGTGAAGGAGCGTGAGACTGTAGTCCACAGTTTTTAGTTTTTGATTTGAAGCTGAAAACAAACTTAAATGACATTAAATGTTATTTAACACAAATTATGAATTAAGATTAAAAATATCTTAAATGAGCCTTAATAAGCACTCTTCTAATAGCGGTACATAAAATTATAGTGGTTACATGTGATGTGGCTTATACGGATGGTATAACACCTAAAGTAAGGTACTATATTATTGAGAAGCTATTCAAGTTAATCAAATGAAACATTGCTATTTCTAAAAATTTTTATAAACTAGCTAAACCATCCCTACTTAAAAAAAAGGATGACTTTTCACTTTTCAGCTGTTTATTTTTTCCTGGTCCGTACCATGTTGTTGTTTAGGAACAAAAAAAATATAATTTAAGATAAAATCACGTGAATTTTAGGATGTACTTAAAATTAGAATGTACCAGTGGTATTTTGAGATAAGTCATGGGGTGAGCTGTCAATCATGCAAAACCATACATTAAATTTAAAGAATGACTTTGAATTTTAATTACATAACGAACGTCAACAACTTACATTTATACTAACGACTTCAAAATAAGAAGTCCTTGTAATCTGATAAATAATTACTAAAATTTTTCTTTATGAACACAATAAAAAACCAGTATAAACCTAATATTGCTATAATTACCATGTACGATGCATGATTGACAACATAATATATATCGTATGAAATAATTTCTTATAAGAGTTTGTATAATACATTTTGGAATTTGAAATTACAATCATACTCATTATGAAATCTACGAACATAATAGTAAGCCTTTGTATGATAAAAGTTATGTTACGTTAGAACTTTTCACGAATGTCGCTATCTCATTTCTTGGTAAAAGTTTTAAAGGAAAAATTTTGTCATTATAACAGATTACTTCGTATTAGAAATGTTTTATAAAAACTGTTTCATGCCTGTATCTCTAGGTATTAAAATATATATAGTATTAAGGTATGAAACCACACCATACAATCATATTTGAAAAGTTTTTTCTTAATTAGGAGATTTCCAATAATACACCTTTAAATACAAAATAATGTGTTGTCATAATCAAAACATTTAAAGTTTATAAGTCACACACTTATATACAGATTAGTTTTATATACGAAAAGAAATTTGTTGAAAAATCCGAAAAATTTCTGAGGATGGATTTTATAAGGATAATTTAAAATGGGCATTAAAAATAACATACCATGTTATTGTTGCTTATGTCACTTTCACCACACGTATCTGTTTCATGGCCCATATCCGATGTTTCATTCACTCCTTTGCACAAATTTCTAAAAAAATTAAAAATCTTTAATTTTTTAACTACGTTTATTTTTATGTGCGTAAACTGGATAAAACAAATATGTACCTGTGTCTTTGAAGCCTAGTATTGCAAAAATTCCGAATGATTTGTTTACAATGATTGCACATAGTAGCTTCATGTCAAGAAAGTGAGCTTTGAGCAATCAAAATTCCCGGCTTGCTCACACATGCGCCGCCTTATGGAGACATCGGGCACTACAGTCACTTGAGCTCTTCGTGGTCGTCTGGCGACGCTCACTAGCCCCACTGCTTCTTCGGCAGCCGACCGATACACTGTCTCTCTTCTTGATCGCCACATTACAGCTGTTATATTAATTTTACTGTATCAGCCTAAAGCTGACCTTGCTGTATTACGTGTTTAAAATACATTGTGAGATTAAATCTTTTGTGCCTTTTCCTTCGCGAGTGCCTACCGTCATCTCCGAGCCCACTACTCTGACAGGTTATGGTCCCCACCTTTTTTCTCTCGAGAGGACGAGCCGGCCTTGCCATGAAGGGCTTCAGAGGAGGAAAGCAGTGAGTTTTTTTTTCTCAGAGTGTCTTGCTTTAGAGGTTCCAAGTCGTGTTTCCTGTGTCAGGGTGATAATGTGCGTGAGCGAATGGTGCAGGGCACAGTGCTATTAAATTTTTTATTGTCCGCGTGCGGCCAGCGTAGTTCAATGTAGAAGTGCGTGTTGGTGGTCGACATAATAAAAGCCCGCGCGAACACCACGATCACGCAGACCTGAGCGAGGCCGCCATTTTTTGGCGCGCACGGGCCTCGAGAGCTACATGCACGTGAACAACATACGCGAATTCTTGCTTGAAGAGGATAAATTTTTTTTCTCTACTCAGAGTACGTTTTTTTTTTCCTATTAATTTGGTGCTGTCAGTTTGTTAAAATTTACATCCTTTGAATAGGTGTATGTACCTATAGGTACGTAACTTGCAAGCGGTGCTGCAAGTTAATAAACTCCCGCAGCAGTTGACCTTCTTAACCATTGCGGAGAGGGGCTGTTAGTTTTTCTCGCGAAGCTTCGGTTTTACATGCGCGAGTGCACCTCTTTCCCACGTTTTTTTCGAGTTACACGCAGTGCGGTGACACGAGTTGGGAGGGAGCGCGTGTGTGAGATTTGAGGTTAGCGGTGCTAACAAGCCAGGTGTTGATTCCAACCGGACAGGCAGTGCCGTCCGTGTACGAGAACACGCCCACATAATAAATGCATGCATGCATATTAATTTCTTGTGTTTGGTATATTCAGATGTGTGTCAACAATAACAACGAGGGCTGTTTCTCAGATGAATGAACAAGACCAAGAGTCCCAAATAAATGTAGAGTCCAACTTTACCGAAACACCTCCAAGGGACAGTCCTCAAGATTTACCAGTTGACAACTCAGAGGAAGGTGAGAATATTTTTTTCTCCTACTTGTTCTTTCCAGAGTATCAGAGTTGTGAATCATTTATATCAGAGAGGCCTATCGAGGTGCTGGCAATATAAAACCAGCAGCTTCAACTTCTGCAAAATCCAAACAATCTAGAGACATGATTCACAATTTCAGAGTTGTCGGAGAACACGACTACCCCTCAACTAAGACCAGAGGACACTGACAACACCATTCAGCAACCAGAGATTGTTGAAATCAGGAACGTTGGAGCTGAACAAGCAGAAGTAATCCAATCTTGGGATACGGCAGTTGACAAACTTCTAATACTGTCAACAAAGATGGAAAGGGCGGCAGACGCCATGTCCAGTGCAACAGAAAAGATTCCGGAGTTTGTTCAGGCTGCCAACCTCATGACCAAAGCTCTCAATCTAGTATCCACTAAGATTGACAGCTTGACACGTGCCACAGAATCCATCCAGGACTCTCAGAGAGCCCATAGAAACTCAGAAGTACCACCTTTATTTAACTTTACCATTAACGATCAGAGGTTTTAAAGAAACACGAATATGAGTGACTTTACTCTTCATAATAATCCTCTCCCAACTCCCTTTGGTAACATTAATCAGAGACCATATAATCGAGATAGCTTAGATGACACTGATAGACTGGATAATCTAAATAATTCACTAGACAATCTCAGAAAATCAATTAATTCAAATAAGAATACTTCTAAACCTTTCTTTAAGAAAAACTACATTCTGACTCAAAAAGGGTCTTTCAATGTTTGGTTTGATCACTTAACTTCAGAATTAAAAACTAATAATCTTTCAGATTTCATAGAAAATAGTAACTTAATTGATAAATACACTCCAGATGAAATCGAATTTAAGAAGAGTCTAGTTAGAGAATTGCTAATTAATCACTTAGATGAATATTATCACAAGAAGGTACTAAACATTGTAGACCCTAGAGAAATTATAAATAAATAAAAATCCTTTAGAATGGCTGAAGCCAATATAACAGCCTCGTCAGTCAGAGCCAAACTATATCGTCTTAAAATTACAACGAAAGAGAAAGTCAATGACTTCATTGACAGGTTTGATCATATAGTAAGAGAGTATGAAAACTCAGACGGTATGGTACCTCTGACTGAGGAGGAAAAGAGGTCAGCCTTTTACCAAGCCGTGGCAGACAAATTCTCAGAGCTACGTACAGCAAACATGGTTAGGCGACAGACCACAAATACTGAGATGAGTCTTGAAGAAATGAAGACAAGTCTAATACAATTGCAGGCAGAAAGAAATCAATCAGAGTCGAATTCAGAGCAGGCCAGGGCCAACATGGCTACAGGCAGTCAGAGAGTCAACGATCAGGCGAATAAGGACACTAAGTGTTTCCGATGCAACAAACTCGGTCACAAACTCATTAACTGTCCTCTAAGCCAGTATGGACTCTGGTACTGCTTTTACTGCCAGGATTTCGAGTACCACAAGGAAGATGTATGCCCAAACAGGAATCATCCTAAAGATGGGTATGTTAAAAATAATTCTAATGACAATAATAATAATAGAGGTAAAAACAATAGCAAGCTCAGAGGTAATGGTAGAGGCAAAGGCAACGGTAATTTTACATTCAGAGGTAATGACCGTGTAAATAAAAAGCAAGGTAACATGAGTACACAAGCCAAACAACAACAGGCAACCAAATTTAAGGCTATGTTAACAGGTAATCATATAGATAACTACAGAGGTAAAACTAAAATATCTTTTATTGCTGATTCCGGAGCAACTCATCACGTTGTTAACAAAGGAATTATTCTAACAAATTTTAAAAAATGCAACAATGAATTCATCAGAAGTGCAAATAAAAACGACTCAGCCAACATCATTATTGATGGGAAAGGCGACTTAATTTTTAAACTAAATTTAAATGAACCGTTTAAATTAACAAACGTGATAGCTGCGAAGGACATCTCCAACAACTTGATCTCCTTAAGACAATTTGCCGATGCCGGTTTAGGCATCTATTTAGATGACAAATATCTAGAAATCTTTGACAAGGAAACGGGAAAAATATATATCTCAGGCGTATATGAGAAACCGAACTGGATAATAGAGTTAGAAGTTGAAAATCAAACCACTGCAAAAACTAGAAATTGGAATAAATATCAGTTCTCGGCACAGATAGTCTCACTGGATGAGTTCATGACACAATCTCAGACTGATATTGTAGATATTCTCAACAGTCAAAATTCAGAGTCTATGGATGAGTCTATCAGTCCAGAGAATACCCAGTCTGAGATTGGGAGGGAGAAGAAAGATGAACTCAATACTTCAGAAGAGCAATCAGAAGATCATACTTCACTAAAGCCAAACAATCTGTTACTGAAAAAAATCTACATTGATTTAGACAACAGCAATTCAGATGAAATCGACAAAATTATATCAGATGTAAGTTCCAACAACATTATTAACATTCAGAAGAAGTTAGACGAAGGCCTGATGTGGCACATTAAATTGGGACACGCATCTTTAAAATATTTAAAACAATTACAAAAATCTGAGGACATTTTATCTAAAGTAAAATTCACAGATTCAATAATGGACTGTGAAACATGTAAATTAGCCAAAATGGAAAAATTACCTTTCACAGAGGTTAGAGTCAAAGCCAACAGACCATTAGAAAGAATACATGTAGATACAATGGGTCCTATAAAACCAGACTCGTACCCAGGAGATAACCGTTTTATCATAGTCCTTATAGACGATTATTCTAGATATGCCAAAGCATACTCCGTCAGAAACAAAAACCAGGCAGGTGACTGTTTGGAAGAGTACCTCAAACATGTCAGAAGTTTATTAGGTACAGATGCCAAGGTTTGTTATATTAGAACAGACAATGGAACAGAATTTACTGGAGGAAAGTTCTCAGAGGTTATGGAAAAAGAAAAAATAGTGGGGGAATTCTCTCCACCACACACTCCTGAACTAAATGGCACTTCAGAGCGATTCAATAAATCCATTCAATGGAAAATTAGAGCACTCATGCTCGATTCAGGACTACCCGCTAGTATGTGGTCATTGGCTACTGAAGTGGCCACTCATATATACAACAGAACTCCTCATTCAAGTATTAATTCCGAAACACCAATAAGTAAAATAAATCAGAGTCAGAAGTCCCATTTAGACAAAATCAGACGCTTTGGGTGTTTAGCATACGCTAAAATCCCAATAATCAAAACAAAATTCTCAGAGAGAGCACTCAAAGCCATAGTAGTAGGTTTTACCCTAACAGGGTACCTGTTATGGCATCCAGAGACCAAGAAATTCTTCATTTCTCGAAATGTCAAGTTTAATGAAAAAATAGTATATAAAGACATCAGAAGAAATACAAAACTCAATGAAACCGAGATCTTGGAAAACTGGAATTTCCAATCAGAGACAGAAAATGACAAAACTCTACATTCTGAAGACATACTAGAACCTAATCATGCACACGAGTCTAGCAAGGCTAGGAGAGGCCGACCAAAGAAAAGAGAAGCTGATCAGACGACAGCAGAGATCGTGCCAAAGACAAGAAAGCTGCCAGACAGAACAGCTAGAATTAACAGACCAACATGGTCCCACTTGAGGTTGGCGCAAAAAGATACGTCTCCTGACATCAATTTCACATTAAAAGGAATTACCGACTTAGAAAACATAAATTCAGAGGATGAACTGACTTATGCTTTTATAGCCAGAACAAATCAAGATCCTATCAACTTCAGAGAAGCGGTTAATTCAGTTGATAAAGAAAAGTGGTTGGAAGCAATCACTGATGAACTCAAATCCATGGAATCTAACAACGTGTGGGAAATAATAGATCGACCCTCCCTGGACAAAAATGGTATTAAAGTACACACGATAGATTCGAAATGGGTATTCAAAAGGAAACTGGACTCAGAAGGTAAAATAACTTACAAGGCAAGATTAGTAATCAGAGGTTTTAAAGACAGGAGGGAGTACGAACTCAGAGAAACTTATGCCCCAGTATCTAGACTGGCAGTTATCAGAGCAGCACTAGCTATAGTCAACAAATACGACCTAGACGTCTGTCAGATGGATGTGAAGTCCGCTTTCCTAAATGGGACACTAGAAGAAGACATATTTATGGAAATCCCAGACGGAATAGAGTGCGAAGGAGAATTCAAGAGCAAAAAGGTCTGTCGGCTTAAAAGATCGATTTACGGTCTTCGAATCAGCCCAAAGAGATGGAATAAACGTTTCACCGAAGAAGCATTAAAACTAGGCTTAGAAAAAGACATAAACGAACCTTGTCTTTTTACTTGGCGTAAAAATAATCAGATGATTATTCTAGTACTGTATGTAGATGATATCCTGTTAGCTGGAAATGACGCAAGTAGATTAATGGCAATCAAATCTAAACTCTGTACAACATTTCAGATGAAAGATTTGGGAGAACCAAAACAGTTTCTAGGTATAAAAATTTCCAGAGACCGAAGTCAAAGAATTTTAACACTTTCCCAATCAGAATACACGAAGAAAATTTTGGAAAGATTCAACATGCTTGATAGCAAACCTCAGAGAACTCCAATGGTAACTAGACAAGTAAAGAATAGAGAACTTAAAAATTCAGAGCTTACTACTGCAGGAGTAGCGCAGCGGACAAAAGCTCCATATCGAGAGGCAATTGGAAGTCTTCTCTATCTGGCAGGAGCTACCAGACCAGACATTTCATTTGCAGTTAATTACCTATCTAGAAGACAATTGGAACCCACTGAAAATGATTGGAAAGATGTCAAAAGAGTGTTCAGATACATCAGAGGTACTTTAGATATGAGTTTGATATTCAGAGGAAAAGAAGATAACCTATATGCCATGACTGATACCAGCTTCAGAGACTTGGAGGATTCTTCAACAACAGGAGGTTTTATTATAAAGCTTTTTGGAGACACTATAAACTGGAGAAGCCACAAACAATCGTATGTAACTCTCTCTACTTGTCAAGCTGAATATTTAGCTATGAGCGATGCTTGTCAAGAATTGATTTCTCTGGACAAGGCGATCAGAAACATGATAGGAAAAACTTTATACCCAGTCACAATTTGGTGTGACAATCAATCAGCAATAAAATGCACCCAAATGGATGGTTGTCATAGATTGAAAAATTTCGACGATGACATAAAGACAATTCAGAGTCAATTAAAAGAGAGAAAAACCACGGGTTCAAAGAGCCACATGGCAAATACTCATGGATATTTTATTAAATTCTGTGTGCAACAAGACAAAGTTAAAGTTCAGTGGATCTCGTCTTCAGAGAATGAAGCCGATATAATTACAAAATCGTTGCCCACAGAAAGCCACAATTACCTCAGAGATGAAATACTAAGTATTCAATGATCGACTTACAATTATACGAATCGCTCATTGTAACTACTTATATTTATTTCAGATATATCAAACCAGGAAGACAATGATTCCATTGAGACCACCGAATCATAACTTCAGAGTAAAATCAATCTTCAGATGTAACTTTCAGAGTTGATTGGATCTCA